ACTCATTTTATTGGATTGAAGCTGTCAAGAGTCCCCATTTGAACTGTACAGCATCATTGCGTGTCAGAGGGATGAAGGTTGATTCAGATAGGCATACAATGAGAACAGAACTTATCACCCTCACAACAAATCTCCATTCCGTTTCACTATTCAGATGGAACAGTCATTCAAAAGCACTCACGTTCGTCATGAAAGCAATCGTTCATCTCGATATAATCCACTTTTTGTCGTTTCTCAGCAGTGAAGAACGGTGCTCTCGTTCGAGATGAATGAACGTTCAATATGCAGTTCTCTTTCGAGAACTCGTAAAAGTGCATCGCCGAGCGACATATAAAACCGAAATTCACCTGCAAATCACGCTTCCGATATTCACGGCTAAGCTTCAATTTCTTTTAAGATATAAGAAGTAAAGAGCACCACAGAACTGGTTAGTCATATCGTGAGCTTTGATCATCGTTTCCCACCAACTGAGAATCCAAAAAAATTGATTCCAATTTATCTTCTACCACAAATTGCGATAATGAAGTGAAATCAACAGCGATAAACGCCAGAAACTGCTGAAATTAGCAGAAAAATCAACACACTTACGAATGCTGTCATGCACTTTTCAACGCATGAACTATGCGTTGGCGCGTCCACAGTGGCACGTGCATGCCCAATGAGGATATATTGAGGAACTCGTCGCATATCGCCTTTGCACTTACCCATTACAGCTTCTAAACCAACAAATTAATGATTCAAAAATGTCACTAGCGATGTAATAATAATCACTGCCTTCCTTTCTGGCTACACCATCACTTCTAGAGAATGCTCTATGTAAATGGACATGATGCTTGAATCTTACCTGGAACGCAAAGTTTTTCGAAATATAAAACATTGGCATTTGGATTATATTGCGCAGTTCCAGTGGGACTAATTGAAACAGCGAAAAGGGTACATTGCCGAGTGTTTTGTTCATATTGAGCTGAATGACACAACGTCCCGAGTGATGATGCTCCATCAATCAACTAAAAATAAGATTGCTTCCATGGACAGCATGAATTGAAACTGTAAATGAAAAAAAAGTAAATAAAGCGCGTCTTAAATAATGAGATATTCCATG